CCGGCAGGGCGAAACGTTGGGCAAGTTTCTTTACTGCACATGCCTCTGTTTGCCTAGCAGTAAGTAGGAACCAGATTGTTAGCTGATTGGCAAATCGCTTTTACGGGGGTAATAATTCCTTCAAAAAAAATAATAATGAATTGGTCACTTCAATCCACGACTGTTTGTGGGACACTGCTGTGCACAATTGGCTGCTAAGTTTCGCCCACAAAATATACTGTCAATTCGCTTTACAGTATATTCTGTGAAGAGGTTTTAGACGTCTTGAAGATGTGATAAGGCGCTGCATCAAAAGCAAGGATTATTATATGCAACAATAGCTGTGACTTTCACTTGTGTGGCCTGCTTGTGCTCTTTGATAAAGTTCCATGCAATTTAATTAGTATATTATGAGAACAATTTATTGCCTGATATATGTCTGGATAAAAGGGTAGCACTGAAGTGTGCTTTCAACATTTATGCTCACGAAATATATTCTTTACTCTGGAAAGCTCAGATCTTTAACCTAATGATTACATTTTTGATACTTATATACACATAATCTGCTTTTTCAGATTAAAATTCACCAAAATTACTGTTAGTGGATTCCTGGGAGTGAGTGCCAAGGATGTAATGTGATGAATCCTAGAATGATAGAATGTTACAGCACTGAACCTGGCAGGTTATTTGATACATCAAGTCTGCACAAGGGGCTAAGATGTCTTAAATTATTAACCTGAGTATTGATCAGCATGAACTGGGATCTGAGCCAAGATTAGAGAGGTACACAGAATTCAGTTTAATTTGTGGCCTTCAATTTCATTTTTGAGCTGTCCTGCCAATGGTGCTTGATGGCAACAAAATACAGTATGAAGTGTGTTATTCATGAGAGAAGCTTTGTGCCTCAGGACGTCAACAAAATATTTTATTTTTTAAACTGATTGCAATGATTTCCAATCAAATATACTGGACCCTTGATCATTCCAAATAATAAAGATCTGAGCCCTTAATTTAAAACAGTGATCTAACTGATAAGTTGAGGGGAAAGACTCCAGGTGGATGATAGTGGATGATAGTGCAGTTTATAACATGCATCTAAACTGCAAGATTTTACTAAGGCTTTGAAGTTGCTCCTTTGAACTTAATGCTATTTGTACGTGTCTGTGTGTATAATCATCGTGGCATGATTCAGTTGTACGTGGTTTGTTTGCTTCTGTTTCTGATTGATCAGTGAGAAACTATACCCCTGTTACATTATGAGGTATTTTCACCCATTCAAGAAATGGGTCTTGATCCTTATCTCTTTATACATGGGTGCTATATCAAATGCAAGGATTATTATTATTATTATAGCAATCCTTGCTCATATGAAACAGTTCCTCAAGCTTAGCTAAGTTATCACATTCACAGGGTTCTTCAATATAATTTTAGACCACATTGTCCATGAAATCTGAGGAAAGAAACAAATTTGTCTCCCAAGATTCTCCTTCTTCCCAAAAAATGAACAAAACAAACACAATGTGACTGCATAAAAATGAGTAGACTTGGCAAAATGCTGAGTTTATCTGGATTACCTTTACAAGTGATCCAAAGTGGCATGGTTTCGATCATTGTGGTGAATCTTATATCCTCATGTTCAGATTGCTAAAATGGATATTTCTTTGCAGTGAAACATGAACTGCTCCTTTGATTTCTAAGCTTTCATTTTCGATGCCTTTTTGCATCTTGGGTATTTAGGTTAATTGCTGGCTGCAGCTCTTCTTTGTGCATTCAGTGAATAAATTATGAGACAGAAGCACAATTGCTCTTTTTGAGCCTTTTTCATGTAATGCCTTTTTCATATAATGCTGCATTGCTTTGTGCCATGTGTTAAGCTGCTGGATATTTATTAGCGCTTCCTTCCTCTCCCCTGAAAATTGCTCTTTTGTAAAATTTATTGTAGAACTGTTTAAAAGATGAGCAGTCAGCAATATTTATGATGAATCTTCTGAGCTTTTTGACTAAGCTGTTGTGAACATATTGCTTTGTATTTTCTATTGCTTGAGAACAGAAATAATGTGCCTTAATATAGTTTCCTCGATGCTTATAGTATTAGAATATTCTGCACATAATTATCTCGCTTTTATTTAATTGCCTCTTCAGTTTACGAGACAACTGGTGCACTTAAACTGTGCCTGCAATTCAGAAAATTTCATGTGGTCCATTTACCTCTGGAAAATATTGGTTTTAAAAAAAAATCTTAGTTATAATAGCTTACACCAGTGGTTATATATGAAATGTGTAGAAATTACAGATTTACAAACCCGTTCAATCCACAAAAGCTTTAAACGTTTCTGATCTGGCTATGTAGACTTTCTATAATATCCAATACCTGAAGAGAAAGTTTCCCCTTTAATCTATCTTCCCCGTGTTTTTACCTGCAATCCTTTACTCAAGGCATGTGATTGTTATACCTTCTACAGTTCTACATGCGCTAGTTGCACTCAAGGACTATGTTAGGCTGCCCATTATTCATGTGTAAACATTGACCGTGACAGCCAATTAAGACTTGGAGGGCAATGCAGCTGCCTTCATTCTTACCCTTGCAATATGTCCAAATGTATGCACCTCCATCAAAGAGAGCTGGACAGCAATCAGGAATCCTAGCATGTTTTTTCCATTTCCCTAACACTGGGCACTGAGGCCAATTGTAGCATCCGTGCTGCTGGTTTTCTGGCTGAGCTCAACTAACTCAGATCAAACTCGGCATTTTGCAATTTCTTACCTTCTTTTGGATCTCACTCAGCCACACATTATTAACAGTTGGCGAGCACATTCTTTGAAATCATCTAGTAGGAGGTCCGGTGACTTTGTTTTATTCCCTTCTCTCCTTCCACTGAAAAGTTACCATTTCTTTACACAGAGGTTTACAGCACAGAAGAAGGCCATTCATCCCACTGTGTCTGTGCCAACCAGCTCTTTTAAGAACAATCCTTTCAGTTTCAGTTCCACTCCCAGTCCTTACTTGCCCTTTCTCCATACTCCTTTCGAGGTATTTACCTAGTTCCCTTTTGAAAGGTAATATGGATTCTGCCTCAATCACCAGTCCCAGCGGGGCATTCGATATCCTAATTACCTTGTGTGTGAAAACATTTCTCCTTGTCTCCCCATTTTCCCATTTGATAACTATTTTAAATTGATGCCCTCTAGTCACTGATTCACCGACCAGTGGAAATAATTTCTCTCTATTGACTAGCAAAACACCTCATCATTTTAAATACCTCTCAGGTCATCCTTTAACCTTCTTTGTTTCAATGAAAAAAATACCACTTCCTCCAGTCTCTGCTCATAGGCCAAACCACTCAATCCTTGGTACCATCCTAGTAAATTTCCTCAGCAATCCCTCTACCATCTTGATTTCTACCGTTGGTTTTATATTCTAATGTGGAAATGCTTATCCCAAAATTTAAATAGCTGTCACATTCCTTACCTAGTTGAAACTCATTAAAACAGCTAATCCTTCTAAGGTTGCTTCACAAATTTTGTTTTGGTAGATAAAGGTAGACATCTAGGTAAACATCTATCAATGAGACAAAGAAAGCTACATAGGCAAGCCAAGTTGGGCTCTGTGTAGATGTGCTTGAATAATGGAATCTCTATATAAAACCTAAATGCTACAAGTGGCTTTGTGTACTGCAATATTTCTGAAAACTATGTGTAATGTACATTTGCAATTTGGGACTCTGAGATGGGCCAATCTGAAAAGTATTAACTATTTTGTGGCCAGATTACTGCATTACACACTACTTACCTGAATTCTCTTAATGTTAAGAAAGCCAGCCTCGTAAGTTGAAGTAACATAATAATAATTTAAGTAATGTATAAATGTGTAAGAAAAAAATTGTTTGTGATGTCTAAAAATGGCTGCATGGCTGTTGAGAAAAGCACTCGACCAGGAATTCCCATAATAAATAATAATAATCCTTGCATTTGATATAGCGGTTTTCATGTCGGGAGGACGTCCCAAAGCGCTTCACAGAACACACTGTAAAGTGAATTGACTGTGTATTTGTGGGCGAACGCGGCAGCCAATTGCGCACAGCAATGTCCCACAAACAGTCGTAGATTGAAAATGACCAATTTATTATTGTTTTTGGTTTTGGAGGGATTATTATTAGGCGTGTGGAGTGAGGAAACTTGCCCAAGGTTTCGCCCTGACCTGCCTGGAATTGAACTCAGGTCTCTCGCTTGCAAAGCGAGTGCTCTAACCACTGAGCTACAGGACTCCATGTGCGTCAGGTGGAGTTATGAGGCTCTGAGCTGAGGTCTCATTACTCTGTGATGTTCAAAAAATTCTCTGAAAAGAACTCCTATTTACATGCAGACATGTTTGTTAGAACGCTCTTTAGACACCTATACATAGATCTCATAATCTCCAAGACAGATATATAAATCTGCAGCTTCCAGATATTCACTTATGTTTTATAGTTTCTGTTGCCCTTCAAGCATGCTTTCTTCCCCCATTGGAGTCCTGTAGCTCAGTGGTTAGAGCACTCGCTTTGCAAGTGAGAGACCTGAGTTCAATTCCAGGCAGGGCGAAACCTTGGGCAAGTTTCCTTACTCCACACGCCTAATAATACTCCCTCCAAAACCAAAAACAATAATAAATTGGTCATTTTCAATCCACGACTGTTTGTGGGACATTGCTGTGCGCAATTGGCTGCCGCGTTCGCCCACAAATATACAGTCAATTCACTTTACAGTATATTCTGTGAAACGCTTTGGGACGTCCTCCCGACGTGAAAAGCGCTATATCAAATGCAAGGATTATTATTATTATTATTATTATTGGAACAGCTACAAATATTTCCAAGTAAACTATTTCAGAACTGATCCCAAACTAATCCATTCATACTGCTTTAGAACTCAGATAGAGATATGACCCTTCGGCTCTGTTTACATATGCATGTAATACAGTAATACTGTAGGTAGATTAAAGGATCAATCAATATCTTTCTTTAAAATATGTTCTTGTGTTGCAGATTTTAGTCAAGAGTATACAGATTCCACAGGGATAGACCTGCATGAATTTCTCATTAATACATTAAAGAATAATCCCAGGTAGGTACATGCATGTTTAAAGGCAGAACTATACCAACTGAATACATTTTGTTGTTTTATAATTATTTTGATTCATTCAAAATAGCTTTGAGAGAACACCATGTTTCAGGGTCCTGCTTGTTGCGAGTTCCTCAATTTAGTCTGTTTAGGGAAAGGCAGCAAGCATTGGAAGACAAAGAACAACCAACGAGAGTCATTCTTCGAAGACCCAGTTCTACCAACCCAAGAATATATAGCTTGCTGATTTGCTTTGTTAGGGAGAATGTGTGAAAAGAAGGTTGTTATAAGTGGGAGATTAACTGAAACCAACCTGGAGAAAGTATTGACTATGTTTATTATTTTACAGGGACAGAATGATGCTATTAAAAATGGAACAGGAACTAATAGATTTTATCAGTGATAATAAGTAAGTTTTCACATTTTTACTTGTTTTGACACACAAGGTACTTTACTAACTTTTTAAAGACTTGTCTGTTACTTCAGTCGTCCATGCTTTTGTCATTTCCAAACTTCTCCAATGCCCTGCACGCCAGTCTCCTGCTGTACTCTGCATAGACCCAGATTACCCACAGCCTGCATTCTCCCCCAAATCTCTGCGAACCAATCACTCCTATTCTCGCCAGGATGTGTTGCAATGGTGGCCAATCTTTTGCGGTTGGCCAACAAAATACATTTTCTTGATTGAATATTTCTTGATTGATAATAATAATAATCCTTGCATTTGATATAGCGCTTTTCACGTCTTCTAGATGTCTCAAAGCGCTTCACAGAATATGCTGTAAAGCGAATTGACCGTATATTTGTGGGTGAAACGTGGCAGCCAATTGCGCACAGCAGTGTCCCACAAACAGTCGTGGATTGAAAATCACCAATTTATTATTGTTTTATTTTTTGGAGGGATTATTATTAGGCGTGTGAAGTAAGGAAACTTGCCCAAGGTTTCGCCCTCTGCCTGGAATTGAACTCAGGTCTCTCGCTTGCAAAGCGAGTGCTCTAACCACTGAGCTGCAGGATGCTATTAATCAAGAAGTATTCAATTAAGAAAAACCTGAAAACACACTACCAATCAAACATGGATTTACCTAGACTAGTGCGAATGTTTGGGGGAACACTTCTTGGCAGTCTCGAGGACTGGAACAGTCCCACGGGCCGTCGTTAGGCTGCGCTGCTCTAGTGGCTCCTGAAATGGATCCATTTTAAGATTCTCATCTTTATCTTGAAATGCCTTCAGGGCCTTGCCCCACTTTATCTCTGTGATCTCATGTGGTCCTATTACCTCACCCATCACCTCTGCTCCATCATCTCCGGCCTCCTTCAAGTCTCCCTCTATCCACCTTCAGTGAGTGAATTTTCAGCTACATGCACACAGCTGGATTTTTTAAATTTAGCCAAGGGAAATCTTTTTAGTTTACTTTTTGCTTTTACATAGTATGGAGGAAGATATAATAATAATAATCCCTTGCATTTGATATAGCGCTTTATCACATTTTCAAGACATCTCAAAGCGCTTCACACAATATACTGTAAGGTGAATTGACTGTGTATTTTGTGGGTGAAACACAGCAGCCAATTGCGCACAGCAATGTCCCACAAACAGTCGTGGCCAATTTATTATTTTTTTGAAGGAATTATTACTCCAGGAAAAGCGAGACGAGTGGAATAAGGAAACTTACCCAACGTTTCGCCCTGCCCGGGAATCAAACCCAGGTCTCTCGTTTGCGAGGCGAGTGCTCTAACCACTGACCTACTAGATAGACATAGACACACAAATATATATTAGATCTATATATATACATATAGAGAGAAAGTTTCAAAAGCACAAAGAGAGTGTTTTGCTGCACTGTTTGCTTATCCACAATGGAGCTGGTCATTATTAACGAAGATAACCACGTGTTTAGTGTTGCAATTTTTAAGTAGTTTTTTAATTTGGGGCAAGATTTTCCTTGGGTCGCTGAAGTTAAACTATTAAGGTCTTGAAGATCTTGTTAAAGGAGGAATGGGGTCTACTTTGCATTTCTTAAATGGATTCCTTAATAAATAATCTCAACAGAATTCCCATCAACCTGCAAAAACTCTGTATAGCACCTTTCACGTCGGCAGGACGTCCCAAGGCCCTAGACAGTCAGGGATTTGGATCCAAGCTGGGAGTTGCGATCAAGAAGGGTGGAGGGCAGGGAGTATAGGGGTATGAGGGTGACTGAAGGGGCAGTTGAAGAGGAGGATCTTGAGATGGGCCTTGAAGGAGGCAAGGGAAGCAGAGAGACAAAGGGACTGGGATGGAGTTCCAAAAGGTTGGGGCAGAGATACTGAAGGCCGGACTTCAATATATACAATTAAACTACCAGAACAGGCAGATGGGACCTCAGTTTAACATCTTATCTGAAGGGGAATATGACCAGCAGTGCCTCACTGGAGTGACAATTTGCATAATGAGCCCAAAAACCCTGACTTTGAGGTAACAGTCCTACCAATAAACATTTGGATAAGTTATTGAATATAGCTTGGTGGACAAACCGTTTTGGACATATTGGTCAGCATTCTGATCAAAACATTCCTGGCACCACTGCAAGTGTGACTTCGCAAGCACATGCAGAGACCACTGGGTAAAGTATGCTGTTCAACTGTTAAATGGTTTAATTTGCATCACAATTCTGAATTCTAATGCTAAATTGAAATCCTTGGGGCCATTTAAAATCTCAAATGACTCTTAAGTGATTTTACAAAAGCTAAAAATGCATCATTGAAGGTGCCTCATCATTATCTGCTATCCTCAATTAAACACAATCGCCTTAAGCCTCTTGAAGTTGAGGAATTAGGAGTGCTAATGTGATACAGCTAAAGTTCCAGCAAATGAGTGACCAAAGAACTTTGTACACTTCAGCAAATGAGGAATGCAACGCTGATTCCATCTAAAGAGAGCATATGGGAATTCTGTTAGTGTCTTATCCTCAACATAAAGTCGTCTTTAGTAAATATAGAGCTGTGAACTCAATTATATTTCACATTTTCTTTTGAACCGCTAAAAGCTTTGAATAAGTTCCACAAACAAGCTGATGATGGGCTTCATATCGTAGTAAATTGCATTACTTACTCATTTTATTTCTCTTTTACTCTAGCAATCACTATAAGAAATTCCCTCCAATGTCATCATATCACCGAATGTTAGTTCACAGAGTGGCAGCTTATTTTGGAATGGATCATAATGTAGATCAAACCGGAAAATCCGTTATAATCAACAAAACTAGCAATACTAGAATGTAAGTACTTCTTATCTTTCAGATTTCTTTAAAGTAATAATGTAAACTTTACAGCTTTAGCATTGTAAATCCAAACTGGTCTCAGAGACCGTAAAAGGCCTTGTTAGACCAGGAATTGCTATGAGTGGTTCAATGCCCTTTTTGTGGTCTCAAGAACTCTTACAGGAAGACATAGATTATAGCTATATTTTTACTGAAAATGCTATAATAATAATAATAATAATCCTTACATTTGATATAGCGCTTTTCATGTCTTCTCAATGTCTGAAAGAGCTTCACAGACACAGCAGTGTCCCACAAACAGTCGTGGATTGAAAATGACCAATTTATTATTGTGTTTTTTTTGAGGGATAATTATTAGGCGTGTGGAGTAAGGAAACTTGCCCAAGGTTTCACCCTGCTGGGTCGAAACCAGGTCTCTCGCTTGCAAAACGAGTGCTCTAACCACTGAGCTACAGGACTCCACTATATCGTGCTGAGGTTATTCATTGTGAAACTAGTGGTGATGGCACCTAACACAGGTGAAGCCCAATGTGTTTCGATGAACGTGGAGGCTGCCCTATCTGTCGTATTGGGCAATCACTGAGCAAGAAAATAATACAATCAAATCACTGATTAATATGGAAGTGAACAATATTTCACACCCAGTTTATACTCCCCAGTTAAAGTGCAAGATAAATTCAGCTTTAGGGCCAACTATCGAATTCCATTGCTGATCTTTATTCCACCTCTAGATTGGACTTGCATGGGAGATCTGCTGTGATGTGATCTACCATTCCACAAGCTACCACTGTAATATATTCCTGGTGCAATCTATTAACCAGAAGCGGTGTTAGCACTTTACTTATCCGAAGCGGTTACTAATTTGCAACTCAGTTATTATCTTCCATTTCGAATATCCAGTTTAGACCTTCTTATCACACAGCAATTATTACTTTATTGTTACATAAATGATATGGTAACATTGCTGGAAAAACTAGGAGTAGAAATCGTAACAGAGTGATTCCTTCAGTTATTCATTGTGGTGTTTGTGGCTCACTCCTATTCCACATACCTGACCTGCTGGTTGCTTTGCGGACCCTCTTCAGCCAGCTGGAACTCCACTCGGGCGTCTACTTCAGTTCCCAATGTCTGTGAAGCTGGTTTGTGCCAAAGGAAGCTCCTGACACCAAGGTGGAGTTCCAGAGAGTTCTCTTCAATCCATCTGGGTATCGCAGAATTCACTAGATACAAGTGCTTTTATGATGCTTGGAAATTAAACCCACTGTAAAGACTTACAAAGAATGTACATCACGGAAACAGGCCACTCAGCCCAAGCAGTCCACGCCGATGTTTATACTCTACCCGAGTCTTCACCCTTACTCCCTCCCATACCCTTCTATTCCTCTCTCTCTAATGTGAAGGTCTAGCTTCCTCTCAAATTCAGTATCTGATTCAACCAGCGAGTTCCACAATTTTGTGAAAAAGAGATCCCAGGAGTGGACAGGTTTGGAGCGGATCATTGATAGAGATTTAGACATTGCCCAGTGCAGGACAGCAGTGAAGGCCGACATTCTGAGGGGTCACTATTCCAGGAACCAATTTGACCTCTACCCACAACGATTGTTAACAGAGACCAGTGTCAATCAGATGAAGCTGTCATTGCAGTCTGTTTGTGGTGGACAAGGTTTGACAAAGTGTAACTGTGGTCAGAAGAAATGTTAAGAACAACCGTTGTAAATGCTTCAAAGCAAAGCTAAAATGTAACTCCCGGTGTCGTGGAAGCCTCACTTGTGTCAACAAATGAATATTTGACTCTTCAGTGAATGAAATGTCACATGAAGTTTATGGTGAATAAAATCTTAATTTTCATAATGTGTTATTTATTTCTTGATAATGCTAACAAGTGTCAATATGATGAATTGATTACATTTTCACAAAATCTCTTGACTTCTAATTTCAGTGATTTCATGGTTTCACAATTTTACTCAAAATTTCAAGTTACTCTCATTGATATGCAGTGTATGTCACACTCAAATTTCAATTGGATTATGGTGTGCCAGGACCATCTCACCAGGTTCTGTGTACTGAAGCCTCTCACAACCAAGCGTGCTGCACAAGTAGGCTTTCAGCTCATGGATATCTTCCTTCTCCTTGATGCTTCTGCCATTCTCCAGAGTGACAATGGTTCCGAATTTAGAGCCCAAATCACCACTCAGCTAAAGCAGATGTGGCCAAACCTCACTTTAGTTCATGGCAAGCCTCGCCACCCACAAGCTCAAGGTTCTGCTAATCGAGCTAACAGTGACATCAAGGATATGTTAGTAGCCTGGCTATCAGATAACAACACACAGGATTGGACAGTCTGCATTAAATTTGTGCAGTTCCAATAGAACTCTGCTCACCATTCATTCAGGAATAAATTGCTCCCCATATGTTGCTATGTTTGTCAATGAGGCTTGTGTTGGCCTAACATCTTCGTCACTGCCAACAGAGCTGATTTCTACACTGGAAAGTGAGCTTGATCTCCTGGCTGTTCTTGCTGGTAATACACCAGAAGAAGTACCATCTGACAACTACTCTACCTCAAGTAACCCCGCCACAGAAGCTTCGATCCCACCACTGAGTGACAGCGATGGGGCTACACACACTGCCGAACCCACCCCTTTGTCAGCTGGCACTTCTGCAGGACAACCCAGTCCAATCGAGGTCATCGAGACACCCACTAATAGTGCATCTGTTTCCCCAGTCTCCAGTGCCACAGACCCAGCACATCTTAGCTTTGTTCTCGATGATAGAGATTTCTAGTGATCCTTCTGTACAGACTACTATTTCACAGGCCCTGGAAGATCACATGACCCAGATCAGAAAGAGAAGAGCTGCTCCACAAATGGCACAAGTATCCCAGGCAGAGAGGATGGCAAAGCGGAGTCAACTGGATCTCCAAGCTGCTATACCTGGAGACAATATGGCTGTCCCCATCCCACCAGCGGACAGGGGTAGAGAGGATCGCAGGAACATCCTTGGTGTTACCATTGTGTTGATGGTGAATAAAATATTGATTTTCATAATGTGTTATTTATTTGTTGATAATGCTAACAACAACAACAAGATTACATTTGTATAGCGTCTTTCACGTCGGGAGGATGTCCCAAGGCGCTGGGAACAAGTGTCAAGGCAAGGTTATCAATATGATGAAATGATCACTCATTCACAAAATCCCTGATTCCTAATTTCAGCGATTTCATGGTTTCACACTTTACTGAAAATTTCAGGCATTTCGCGAATACTAAACGGAATCCTGTTGATAGCTGATGGTACGTCATGGTTGATTCACAGCAACCCTGTAAACTCATTTCTGGCACTTGTGCCTGTGATTCGGCCATAACATTGTGCTGTTTACTGACCAGGTTCCCTTTTAAAGATTCTGAGTTACTATTGGTGAATCCCTTTAAAAAAAACATTTAATTTCTCTCCACAATTTGCCATTCAGCTGCATAGTATGATGTTGATCTTTCCTAAATTATTTTTCCATTCTTGTATTTTTGGTAAGGGCTTTCCCCATTGCATTGATGGAACAAATTCTATGTAATTAAAAAAATCCATTGGTTCTATCTCAGACAAATGTCATTAAGTATATTGATTAATTGAATCTTGAAACAAGAAATGCAATAGCAATGATTTCTGTCGCATCGTAATGGTTAGGACTTAATGCTAAAATAGATATACCAGTTTGATAGGATTGTATTTAAAAACTGTGGAGGATAATGTAATCCTTGCAAAATTTAGATTTTGCCAATAATGCTTCAGCCTGTGTCCCACCCATTTGTTGGCTTCTGATCTTCAATAGAGTGTGTCTAAATTGTTTTATATGTTGAAGGTATAGAAAGACATTTCTGAAGAAACAAGACAAATCCTATCTGCAGGAGAACTGGATCTGACTACCTTTGTGATTTTTATCCCAATAGACCAGAGCAAAGATTCTGTGAACACATAAAAGATGAGAAGAATGACGACTCGCAGAAGAGATTTATTTTAAAACGAGATAATTCTAGTATGGATAAAGATGACAATCAGGTATGCAATACTTTGTCAAGCATTAAAACAAGAGTGCTTTGGTAATATCTACCAGCAAGAACGATTTAATTTTTAATCCATTCAGTCAGTTAACCTTTGTATTTAGAATCTGGTGTGATGGCAGTAATGTGTGTACTTTAATTAACCTGCTGAAGCCTCAAATAATTCAATTGGATGGGATTTTAAATAGGTTTATGTGTAAATGAACAGTATTTCATATCCTTTCAGGAAATTTTTATCTTGCAGCAAAATAGGATTCATCCATTTAGAGATGATAGAAGAAGTAAATCAATTGAGGAGAGAGAAGAGGAATATCAACGAGTAAGAGAGAGAATTTTTGCACAAGATGTAAGTAATTTCTCTGCTAGCCTCGTACCCCATTTACACGGGGATATCAAATTGAGTTCGGATCTGTGGATCTGAACTGAACTTGATCTCCCTAGAGTTTATGCTCACCTCTGTCCTGAACCAGTAGGTTCGTCGGAACAGGATTAAATGACCTGTCCGAGGAAGGTGCTGGCATATTGGGCAGAATAAAAGATCAGCTAGGATTTGGATCGGACTGTTTATATCAGCCTGATTCTGATCTGTTTGGTTTGTGCTGGGTTTAAAACCAGCATCAGGAGGTGAGAGATTTTACATCAGAGTAAATAAATTGCTATCATTTAATTGTTGAATCAAAACAGCTGCAAATTCAGAGTAGTTCTAAATTTACAGCTGTAGTGTAAACGGGGCTCTAGACAGGCTAAAGTCATAACTAGCTGGTGTCACGAAGTCAAAGGAAATAAGGTTCATGATATCCTAAGAGTAAACAGATGACAAATTAAGTTCTCAATGACGCCCTAGTAATTATATTCTAAATCTTCAAATCTGCATTCCCATTCTAAAAATAACAGAGAACAGTTCAGTAAATGTGATGAAAAGATAGTCAGTTATCTACTATTGAAATTTCAGCAAAATTTAAATCAGTGTGTATCCGCACAACATTTATATTGTACTGTGCAAGTCACTAGTTACAATCACAATAAAAATACCCCCACCCCAACATTAGAATGCTTTGAGCAATGTTCAAAGCTCATTTATAATTCAACATTTGATGGGTTTCAATATCAGGAACTATTACAAAGAAATGTAATTGTTCAGTAAATAAACCAGTCCCATAAAAACAATGAAGAAATTAGACGATTTAGTGGTCCCTTAAAGAGCCAAATCAGCTTTGTTAGCATAGTCAAGAAAACTCTAAATGTATTCATGCAATAACATTTTAGCTGTTTCTTCTAAGTTAACCTTATATTAATCTTATATCCACTGTACGTTATTTTGAAGCTTGCAGTTGCATACTTATGAGTTGTGAAAACAAGCGCTAAAGAACATTGGGCAGCTTAAACATAAATTTCCTTATAGGAATGTAAATCTATTTGGGGATCTAAAGTTCTGAAATTGCTTAATAACAGCAATTTATTTCCAAGTTTTTATTTTCAGCATACATTAGACACCCATTGTGGCCATCCACCTTTAAACGGAATTGAAGGCTGTAACCAAATAAATGTAGCCATATGCCTAATCATACTTAGAAGAATATGATTTCAAGAGCTTTCACAGCCATCTGGAGGCTAAAACACAATATTCGCAAATCGGATTTGTTGCATTAAATACAATTTCAATTTTGCAAATATTGGATTGCGAAATTTGTAGCTTGTTAAACGCAAGGCGGAAGTCTAGAAAAAGACCAGCAAATGAAGTGCTATCAGGAAATATAATTAATCCTGTTTGCTGAAGTCACTTTATAGACACCATGGTTTGTGAAATGGGTGTACAAATGAAGCAATATTGCGATTGAAGTCAAATTGTTAAGTGCTTTGGAAAATAATTTCCAATTTGGTTATTAAATAATTCTATATTCATTAAATTGAAACATGAGTTAATACACAACCTTATATGTTGCCGAGGTAAGGTTCCTACTCTGTTTGCTGGTTGTTTCTTTCCCTTCTCCCTCTTATCTGCTATTTTGATGGGTCCTGAAAAATCTTTCTCCACTATAATTTTTGGGTTTGGATTTTGTTTAAATAATTTTCAGATATTTCAATGTATAAGTAACAAGTTACAGACTTTATAAGGTGATGCTCCGTGTGGTAATAAGTTCTGAGTACTTCTGACAATGTGCGTGTATAATGCTAAATCCTGTCCTCAGCGCACATTGTCCAAGTGGGCTCGACTGACCTGAATGTGAGCATTACCTCTCTTGTTCCTGTTTAAAGATGCTGCAGAGTCTTGAACCAAAATTAAGCTCAATGGTAATTGAAATGTGTTCATTTATTAATGCAATTTACCTCCTGAACTGTTTTGACATTGGAAGCTGCTCTAGTCTGTGCGGTCAGCATTTCTCACTTGTTCAACAAAATATTTATTGTTAAAGAGGAAATGTCACCATTAGCGTCCTTTTAAAACAAGTTTAAAAAATTATAGCTTTTGCAACTTGATTTTGAATATTTTGGAGTAATTATATTAGTTCTGATAATTTCATCATTAGAGAAAGTATTAAGACCAAATCTGCAAAGGGATTGAATTAACATGAAAGAGAATTCTTAACCTGGATATTTCATTATCAACTGATGTAGCTCTTTCACCTTGTTGAGGGCATTAATCCTTCTGAGTCTGTACACAGAACGAATAAACAAAACTATTCAAATACTGACAAAAATAGATCGAATTATGTTAAAATGAATGTTAATTCTTCATAATGCTTATTTTCTTTTTATATCGTGATCATCGTGATGATTCTCACTTTTGAAATGTAATACATTTCCCTTCAGATGTTCACTGCTATGCTTGTCACTTCAGACCAGAGAGCAGGATGGTCTGGGCTGGGAACATAATGACAACTGCTGTCACTCCCACTGTACTTTTCAGTCCTACTTGTTGAGAGACAAACTGTTCCTTATGTTAAAATCCTCGACTGTTGGTTAAATGGTGACAGCCAAGCCAGGGTTTGGAAGCAGTACAGCTTCTGGATTGGAGTCCAGCACTGCACTGTTACAGCTACCCGATTACACTCTCTTAGCAATTCCCAATTTCTAACTTCTAATATTGATCTTCAAAATACTATACACATATTTTCTAGAGTTTAATTCGAATGAATTTGTATGCAATTAATTTTACTGTATATTCAAACATTTTTTTGTTCTTTTCAGTCCACATGTTCCTTGGACAGCCTGTATGTGGAAAACAGGTAGGAAACTCTTGATCCTAACCAATAGATGCACTGGGGTCATGAAAACGCAAATATTGCTCAGCTGTTTGTGTTCTTTTGCTCCTGCAGCTTTTTTTTAACGATTATGTTAGATAGGTGGAACAAGTTAGTAAACTGATATTCTTAGAAATTTCATATCAATTAATATTATTATAGGGATATTACGATATTTCTTAATAGATTTCTTGCGGCAATATTGCTAGAACTCAATCTATTGACCAGGGCTTCTTCGAGTTGGAATGACGTGTATGATGAAATTGCAGTTAGTGACTCTTACTAAGTTACTGACTCTTACCGTGACTCCATGTAGGTTTGTTATATCAGGACACAAATTTCTTCATTTAGAAATCATTTAAGAAATACTGCATCATTAATCCTATTGCATGTAACAGGAAGCTAGGGCAATAAAAATGTTAACTGAATTAAATTATTCTTTCTGTCAATTCTGGAGTTAAATAAACCTTCATGATTTCAATTGCAATATTTACTCTGATACAGTTTGATGGGTATTATAATTTTTATAAACAACAACAAAATTACATTTATAGAGCACCTTTCACATCGGGAGGACGTCCCAAAGCACTGAACAATCAGGTGTCGCGGCCCAAGCATGGGGGAGGGGTGGTGTAGGGGTGAGGGAAGGTAGAGAGTGGGAGGGTGACCAAAGGCACGGTCGAAGAGAAGGGTCTTGAGACCGGCCTTGAAGGAGGCAAGGGAGGAAGCGAGGTGAAGGGACCGTGGGATGTCATGCACCCTAATTACCCAGCAGGATTCTAGTCTACTCAATACATTTTACAGTAAGAAAATTAATCCCGTACTCATGCCTGCTCTTATCTTCGTCCACTTGGTCTTTGCATTGCATGGAGTAACTGATGTAACAGTGAAGCTATGCTAGCTTGGAAATTGTCCCATGCTGTCAATGGGCTGCATTACAATTCCTTTAATTGTTTTCCCCTCTTTTTCTTCCCAAACATCTGCAAATGAACACAAAAAAGTGACAGTAAACCTTGAATAATTGGAATAAAATGCCATCTGGGTCTAGATTTACTCTATTAACATAGTATTTCAGCATGTACTAAATTTGGCAAATTGTTGAATTCAGTTTTAACTTTGAAGCTGTTTTTCTGTAGTTCTTAACAATCAGGTTATCGAGTCATCTAAAAGCGATTCACAGGATTTTACTTTGAAGTGTAGTTACTGTGTATTTGTAGGCCTATTTACAGAAACTCAGCGTCAAGTAAAAGACTATTTAAGAATTTAACATGTTCTGCGCACTCTGAAATGTTAATTAATAGAATAAATCTAGACCCACATGGAATTTCTACCCTAATTTTTCTATAAATCTATTTTGGTGGGGTGTGGAAAGTCTTGTTTTCTGTGGTTAACAAGGAGACACTGCTTGGTGACTATGCTTGATGGACAGCTAAAATTCTAAACTTATGTGTGCAATGCTGTGCCACCTTAAAATGTGCTTATAAAGGATAAGAGTGTATATGTGAAATGCCCTTGATGCATTAACATTAACTTTTCCCCCCACAGCCGGATCCTAGAGGACTGTAATACGTTCAATGACACTCAAAAGAAGAGGCAGCTATTTAGGTTTGTTATGAATGCATAAAATGGATGAGATTTCAAACAATTCAGCAGCAAAACTGGTGTTAATGGTACTATTTTGCTCCCTTTAGGGGTAATAGGGATGGCACAGGGAAAGCATCGGGGAGTCGGCAGAGTAGCACAGAGACTGATATGAAGTGGACGGATCAGCGTCCCTGGAGCAGTACTGACTCCGACAGCTCAAATCGAAACTTGAAACCTCCTGTGACAAAGACAGCCAGTATCGGCGGCATAACTGTATTGACACGTGGTGACAGCACAAACAGCAACAGGAGTACAGGCAAACTCTCCAAAACAGGTAGTTAGTACTGTATAGGTTCTGTTGCTGAATACTGGTTTGATTATTCCTATGACAAGACATGAACAAATCTCCTCATTTCTAAGGAGATCTCCCGGGATGGAGCCAAGATCTCATGGGATTGGAGTTGGGACCTCACAGCTTGATTTGACGTATTTGCGATTCCCCGTACAAGACTCATCCTGATATCCAAGCACTTTTCCCAGTACAGGCACCCCCTTATGTTGTGGCTTTGATCCTTCTTTTTCAATCATTCTTCAGAGGAGGAATGGCAAATATGGCTGTTGCACGAGCTTGCAAAAATGTGGTCAATGTCGGCAGAATCCATGAGTTGAGAATGATTCATTTCTCCTTGGAATATGGACAAAATGTTGTTCTAAAACTATTAAGAGTATCTGTCCTATTTCTTTCTGAATGCTGCAATTGCTCATAAGGATATGTTACAGAACTGGATGAACAGAAAATGTTCAGGTTCATCCCAGTGGTTCAGCAAGATTACTGTTGCTATATTTTCAGAAATAATAAACAATTTTCAGTCTTGCTGAATTTCGAGATCAGCAGGAAAAAGATTAGTGTATGCAAACAGCCGCATTATTCCCTAAGCAAACATTCCGCAACCATATTTTGTTTTCCAGGTTCAGAGTCTTCCAGTAGTGCAGGCTCCTCAGGTTCCCTGTCACGAAACCATCAGCCATTGCAGAGCGCTCCTGTCGTCCCTGTACCAGTCAGCTCCACAGGCTCAGTCTCCTACTCAGATGGAGGAATGGGTGGACAGGTGGCATCTGCTAATACCAGCTACATTTTGCTTCCTTTGGAAGCTACAGGTATACCACCCGGCAGTATTCTGTTGAACCCACACACAGGTTAGTGCAACTATTACTTGTAACCGCTTGTTAAAAATAACCTTAGAAGAATTAGGAGCCATCTATAATTATGTTTTCACAAGAAGGCTCATTTATTTATTCTCTTGCCAAAAGGGTACTGCTGTTAAAGAAAATGATTATGTGTTGTTTCTGTATATATTTGGAGTATTAGAAAAAAAACACTCTCATCTACTCCTGTGAGAATAACAGTAATACTCCATGAGCCTATATTGTACTTATTTGTTTTAAAGCAATCTTGTTCTTAATTAACAATATTTCCAAACCTGATTTGTTGGACTAATTGCAGGTTTTGGCTTGCCAACTTCCTGTGTTTGAAATTGCTCAAAAATAAAATGGCTTCTGTTTGCAAAAAGTAATTTGTATAACAAATCCAATTTATGAATACTATAAATTAGACCCCAATTCAATTAAAGTGCCAGCGAAAGAAAAATAGCTATCCTTCCTATGGTCTACCTCATTCTTTGTGAAAAATGCTTCCATTTAGCTCTGGATAAAAGCAGAGAAACGTGTAGAATGATGTCCCTCCAGGTGTATTGTACTCTTGTAGTCTTGCAAGAGTCAAGAGATTATTCCCATCTCCATTATTCACTCCAGTATGGCATAAGACTTTTATGCATAACCAAGTCAGCAGTTCTGTTACCAGGTAGGCTGCAGTGGATTGTTTATGTAGTGAAGGCATTAATTTGTTGAATAATAGTGATTAACTACTCCAAATAGAAGTTAACAGTTAGGGAGATGTACGACCCATAAACTACAATATATCCAAAGTGAAGCTAGATAATCTTGCTTTTTTTTCTTCCTTTCTTTATCTACCACATAGTTTAAAATTATGTTACAGTAATGGTAAAAATAAGAATTGGATAAAGGTTATTTCATTAAAGATAATATTCAAACCAATGCCTTATTTTTGGAAGTTTAGCTTGTAAAACAGATGCTGTTTCATGTGGATACTTTTAGCTGGAATTTAAAGGGACATTGGCTTATAAACAAACTGAAGCTGGAATTACCATCCAACTATTTTACACCCCAAATTTAAAGACTCTCAACATCTGTGAATGGTCTCTACTTTGGACACAAAAATAAGTTAATGAGCTCTCAAGTATTGCAAAAGGCATGGGAGAAAGGTGAAAATAGATGGTTATTAGAGAAGGGAACTCTGGAGTTCTGCTTGGCTTCCAAAATAATCTTTAAATAATAATAATTACTAATAATAATTATTGCAATTGATATACTGCCTTTTACACGCTTCAAGATATACTGTAAGGTGGAGTGATAGGTAAATGCATCAGCCAAATTGTGCACAGCTATGTCCCACAAATAGCTAGGAAGTGAATGACCAATTTTATCTGTGGGATAAAAGACTCCCTTCTTCCTTTCGAAAGGTGCTGTTGGATCTGTAACGTCACCTAAAAAGGCAAACGGGTTTAGCATCTCAGCCCAATGGATGGCACTTCTGAAAATTCAGGGCTCCCTCAGCAACTACGTCGGCATGTCAGCCTCGACTATGAGCTCATACCATTAAATATAACTGATCTTTCAGCACCTTTTATATCGTGGAGTTCAGTTCCTGGTCTCATATGTGTCTGCAAATGTTAACATGTCTTCAAGGGAAACTTTGTATTGTAAATCTCTCAAGACATTATTTGAATTTGCTTGCTGGGGTTTACTACGTGCCTTTTTTTGAAAAAGTAAGGTTTGCTTTTCACCATTGTTCTATGCTGAAACAGCAGTGTGGATTGTTGAACCTGATGTGTTTGCTATAGGCCAACCATTTGTGAATCCTGATGGCACACCTGCAATTTACAATCCTCCCACCGGCCAGCAGCCAATTCGCAGTCAGCTCCCTGGACAGCCTCAGCAGTCGCCTGCCTCCCAGACACAGCAGCAGCAACAGATGGCAAGTCATCTGGTCCCGCAGGTGAGGCCCACACCATTGAATCATAGATATAACAGCACAGGCCATTGAGCCCACCAAGCCTGTGCTCCTGCCAGAACCTCCACTGGAGCTAACCCTCTAATCCAAATTCCTCATTCTTTCCTCCGCACTGTTTATATTGTTCCCTTTCAGATATTAATCCAATCCCCATTTGAATGTTACTAAAGTCTTAGGTTCAGTAGTTTCTTTTGGCAAAGTAATCCATGTCCTCGCAACCCTTTGCGTGAACAGATTTCTTGTTATACTTCCACTAATTCAATTTCATGTACATTTGATCTCATTATCAATTTAGGGAAAATCCTTATCTGACTTTTTCAAGTGTGGAGCAAGTGTATGTTTGTTAAAAAGCAGTCTAACAAATCTAATGGAAATAGCATCAAAGCTTGTTTAAATAGTTATGGATCCATTTGTCAATTTTAGAATCACAACATTGTTATTAGATTTATAGATTATCTTTGGCAGGAAATTGGCAGGAAATTGGATGGATGAGTTAGATGAACCAATAATCTACTCCTGGCTGAAATGTTTATTATATTTATTTGAAACTAGTGGGTTAGCTATGAGTAATGATTCAAGTACTAAATCAGAGAGCCTGATAACTGCGCTAATTGGGATATAAAAACAATGGCGATATTGGGTTATCACTTGAAATACAATATACAGTATTAACCAAAACTATCTTCCACCAGGTGTTATGCTGTCACTGTAGTATGACAGAGTACCAGCCCTTTCCACCCCCGCCCCTCACCCCACATATATACACACAGTGCCAACTCCTGTGTCTGTCTTTTGCTGTCTCTATGGCGTTTTACTCTCTACCTCATGTGCTCTGCACCGTCTCTCTCTCTCTTGTTTCCCATCTGGCTGTTTGTCTCTCCATCTGTCAATCTGTCTGTCTCTCTCTCATGTGTTTGTATCTGCATGTGTGTGTGTGTGTGTATCTCTCTCTCTAACCCTGTAATGCATCTGTATTGAATATCTCACTACTTCATGCTGACATTTAAACCATATTCAGAAAAAAACTGCGTTGCTGACATAGCGCACAATTAAAAATGTTTTGCATAAAAGTTAATAGCGAATTTACTTTGAGATTTCAGCACTCCTATGCCTCAGGGGAGGAATAAAAGGCTATATATGTGGCTCTCAACTGTATTTACATCTGCTGTACGACTCTTACATAATAGAATTTGTTCAACCAAATATTATACTTTCTCCTTTTCTCTTTTGTACCCTGATTGAAATGGAGTTTAGAAAACATTAAAATCCTTTGCTTAAATAATATGCAAATAGTTTGATTACTTCTCTCATTGCTGAAATGTATGGCAGCTGTTATAAAGCATTCTAATAAACATAATAGACAATCTTTTTTTAGTATCTCAATATATATGTTTGGGATTTCCTGTTTCCCTTGCTTGCTAACTTTCTATTTTGTGTTTATCACTGAATTATCTCCTCTGTGTCTGACTTTGCTGTTGAATTCTCTTCTCAGCCTGTACAGGCTATGCAGCCTTCTTCCCAGTCTGTCCAGTATCCAACGGTTTCTTACCCTCCACAGCATCTTTTACCAGTTTCACCCTCGCAGCAGTTTCCTGTGGTACTTAATTCTACTTTTCTAATTCTCCTTTTTAAAACAAACAGTAATTCTGACCTTTGCAATGTGCGTATAAACGTAACTGCAGTATGTTTTTGTGTGCTTTGCTTCATTTCCAGTGGTGATTGTTCACTGCATTAACTGTAAATGGCAGTACATGGCTGAGGGTAAATTTGTATTACTTGCTGAAATACTTGTACAGTGTGTGAGAAAACTGTTTGACTCTATGTTGGATTAAAGCAGGCAGTTAGTATTAGATGATGTGAGAACTTCATTCCTTTCTCTTTGCAAAATTCTACATCTTTGAAAATTAATTCCTCTTGAATTCTGGTTTCCTCTTGGTTCAGCACACAGTTAATACCCTGTGTCAGTGTACTCTCCTGTAATATAATGCCACAAAATGCGACTGTGTCATGTTTTTAATTTTCAAAGATATTTTAATAGTGTGTGTAAACAGATACAACGCATTATCAATGACAGGGTTTTGTGAACTGCTGTGTGTACAAATGTAGAGCTGTGTGGCCTTAATTTTCTATACATCCCATTATTGGTAGGCTTATTTGTGTTTACCTGTAAAGGGGGAGAAAAAATTCAACATTTTTTTTAAAAAAATGTTGTGTCTTCCATGCTAAGTTTATACAGAGTTCCTAATTTGTTCTACCATTGTGCATTCAAATGGTCTCAACATCGAGTAGAAAGATCTGCTGAAGCCCAAACAGTTCTCATATTCTTCGCCTCAAGGACTATTGTCTTAAACTGTAAGGGCACTCAGAATTTTGGAAATATCTTAAATTATTATAACAATAATATTCCTTGCATTTGATATAGCCCCTTATCTTGTCATCAAAATGTTTCAAAGCACTTCACAGAATATACTGTAAAGTGACCATGTATTTTGTGGGTGAAACACTGCAGTCAATTGCGTACAGCAGTGTCCCGCAAACATTGTGGATTGAGTGGCCAGAATTTTTTTTGAGGAATTATTACCCCCAGAATGCAATCGGCCAATCGACTAACAAACATGTTTGAATTCAGTCATAATTTGGGACATATAATTTGGGAAAACGGCTTCCAAATCAAGACTAAATTTAAGAATTTTCCATAATTCTTTATATTCTTTAGTGTTAAGACAACGAGGAATTTCAGGCTTTGGTGCAAGAAAAAAATCTAGGTTTTCTTAATACTCGCTTTTGATTTTGAACTCCATGATTAATTAGGTTTTAATCCTAGCATGGAGCCAAATAGATAGAGCATGTTTTGTCGGTGAATGTGTTGTTCTGTCTCGTCGTGGTGTCTCTCTTTGACGGCGCTTGTGTTGCATGCAGTTAATTTTTTCTTTCATTACTATGGCCAGAAGCATTGTCAAACATTCAGTCTTTGGCTCTTTTGTTCTTTCCATCACAGCGAGAAGATTTGGCTTCCCAATTTAATCAGATGAGCTTAAGCCGTCAGTCATCAGGAGAAGCCCCTGATCCACCTTCTGGTTCTGTCTATCCATCACCCATCATGTCTCAGCCACCCCAACAAACTAGCTATGTCATGGCATCACCCAGTCAGCAGCTTCCCCCAGGAAGTTTCACTGGATCTGCTCCACCTATGTCTCCACAAGTACTACAGCAACCACAGGGATACGTGCAGCAGCCACCTGCACAGGTAAGGCAATTAAAGGGGACTAAATGAACCCAGTTAAGCTTAAGTTTAAGACTAGACTGCAAGTTAAGTACACGCATGAAACAAACCGGAGAAGATGACCAAGACTGACTTTCTTCACCTCTGCCACATTTGCCCACCTCTGTTTTCAGCTCACACCAAATGCCACTGACCTTTCTAATCCACTCATTGCCAGTCTCCCCGAATCCACCATCCACAAGATCCAGCTAATCAAAAACTCACTGCCTGCATACTCACCCGCACCAAACTCCAGCTTTCATAAATTCTACTGTCTCCCTGTATCCCAATAGATTGATTTCAAGATCCTCACTTATAAATCCCTTCATGACCTAGCTTGGCTAACTCTGGACTGCTGTACTCCCCTGTGCCACCATTGGTAGCCAAGCCTTCAGTAACCTCTAACCTCTGGAATTCCTTCTCTGTGTCCCTCTGCCTCTCTCTCTCTCCATCTTTAAATAGTGGCTTAAAACCTATCAGCATTTCAGTTGCCTATTTAAACCTCTTTTTACAGTTCACCCTAACCTTTCAAAATGTTCTTTTTTTAAGTTTTTCGGGTTAAAAGGCACATGAGTAACCTATTCTTACTTTCCTTTTGATGCCATTCAGATCTTGCCACAATAAGTTACATGAAAGTGTTTTTGGTCAGCCTGACACGTGCAGAAACCTATCACCGTGCTTAAGAGTATCCAACCAGACTGAGAGTTCCACCTCTGCATAGAAATTTCTACTTTCTGAATGGAGTTCCCACTCTCTGCCAACAGGGACTCACCTTGCTGACCTAACCCTGGAAAGTATTAGATGCATGTTGGCAATAGTCAAGGCTTGGGACTCTAGAATGCATATTAGGGTACTGCTGGAGTTTAACTAACTAAAATCAGGCAGCTTGCAAGCTTCACCTTACCTCTGAAATCTCCTCCAACCACACTATCCCAGCTACTCCCTTCGCTCAGCAAACAGTGGTCTGCTTCATGTCCCATGTGCCCCACCATTGATGGGTTTGATTTCAGCCATTCTGCCCTTGCTTCCTGGAATTCCATCCCGGAGTCCCTACAACTCGCTGCCTCCCTCACCTCTTTCAACGCAAATCTCAAAAAGTATCACTTTGACTGCACTTTTGAGCATCTTTCCCCTCCCCATCCCCTTTGGCTCCCAATCCCAGTTCGTGTGCGAAGGTCTTGAGAAGTCCCCTTGATGTGAAAGGTGAAATATAAATATAAATTGCATTGTATTCCAGTTATGCTGTTTGTTCAGATAGGACGATTCTACCCATTAGGGCTTTGGATTGGAGGGTTAACAGATGCTGAGTGGGAAGAATCCCTGCTCCCGGTGTTTAGTCTTCTCTAAGTCCTGCCCACAAGACAAGCTGGCGAGTCTGTTATTGGCAGAGCCTTGGAGTATTGTGGACCTTCCTGGCTAAGGGGCTGACCTCCTGAGAGCGCCAAAGAGGATCAACTCGATTTGGATTTTCCATTTTTAAACTCGTCACTTTGGAACCAGCTCAACCCTGAGGAGACTCCACTTACATAAGAACATAAGAACATAAGAATTAGGAGCAGGAGTAGGCCATTCGGCCCCTCGAGCCTGTCCCGCCATTCGATAAGATCATGGCTGATCTTCAGAACTAACTCTAATTACCTGCCCTATCCCCATATCCCCTAATCCCTCTGTTTTTAAAAAATCTATCAGTCTCAGCCTTGAAGATGTTCAAGGACTGAGCATCTGCAGCCTTCAAAGCCCTCTGAGTGAAGAAATGTTTCCTCAACTCTATTCTAAAAGGCTGACTCTTAATTTTAAGACTGTGACCCCTGGTTATAGATTCTCCTACCAGGGGAAACAGACCCTCAGTATCTACTTTATCCAGCCCTTTAAGAATCTTATATGTTTCAATAAGATCTCCCCTAATTCTTCTGTACTCTAGAGAATATAGCCCTATTCAGCCTATCCTCATAGGTCAGTCCCTTCATCCCAGGAACTAACCGAGTGAATCTACGCTGCACCCCCTCTAGGGCAAGTATGTCCTTTTTTAAATAAGGAGACCAAAACTGCACACAATACTCTAGGTGCGGTCTCACCAAACCCCTATGAACGCTAACATGCTGTTCGCCATCTTAGTTGTTTGCTGCACCTGCAAACTAACTTTTTGAGACTGGTGTACAAGGACACCCAAATCCCTCTGCACACTAACACTATCTAATCACTCCCCCTCTAGAAAATAATCTGTTTTTCTATTTTTTCTACCTAGGTGAATGACTTCACACTTCCCTACATTAAATTCCATCTGCCACCTACTCGCCCACTCCCCAAACCTATCCATATCCCGTTGCAATCTTTTTACATCATCCTAAGAGGTTACTCTCCCACCGAGTTTAGTGTCATCCGCGAATTTAGATACGTTACATTCAATGTCCTCGTCTAGATCATTGATGTAAATTGTAAATAGCTGAGGCCCAAACACTGATCCTTGTGGAACTCCACTAGTCACATCCTGCCAATTCGAGAATGACCCGTTAATCCCTACTCTCTGTTTTCTACCTGTTAGCCACTCTTCAATCCATGCTAATATGTTCCCATTAATCTTTACTTTCCTCCGCCCCACTGAGGATAGATTTGTACCATGATCAGAAGCTCAGTGTCATATCTTGTGAGAGTTATCAGAGTCTCAAGTTAAATAAAGATGATGTTTATCTGGGCATCACTGTGACTGATGATAGCTGGTAAACTACATTTTACTCCTGTTTGCTTGGTTTAACTGGTATCATTCTTGCATTTCAGAAATAAGGTATTGAGTTTGGGAATTTAATCTGAAATATTATAAATTGCTGGTGCTAAACATAGATAAAATAACTTAATTAGGTGACCAGTCAGTATGTTATAATGAATATAAAAGTTGCTATTTTAATATCCCAGTTGTGTCAGTTTCAATGCAGCACCTTTGAACTAAAAATGTACATTCAGATATTTCCTGAGAGCTCATAGAATAAGGCTAAAATTTTCAGATGAATGGGTCTGTTTGCAATGATCAGGAGAAGAAAAATGGTCATAAGGGGTTTTCAACTTGCAACAAAAGTTTGCATTCATGTGATTGTTGAGTCCTGATGTGCTAATTCACAAAATGTGACAATTCTTTGTGAAGATACAAGGATACGTCTTTTGCACTCTTTAGTTACTGCAAAAGTTCAGTTTTAGCAGGGACAGTTCATTCTGATATGCATAAATTTCCAGGTATATTGTTATATTGCCATATCAACCATAGTTAATGCTGCCGAGTATTCCCATGAGTCATTAGCTTTTGACTTCTTTCTGTCATACCATATGTCAAAAATGACATCATTAAATGAAAAGAACATCTTGACATTTTTGTGTAGTTAATAAAGATTACACTGCACTGACAGTTTAATTTCACATTACTTCACTCTACATGCGATTTACTGGGCAGTTATCATATTTCTATAGTGCTAACCTATTGTTCTTAGGAAATGTTATCACCTACTTTAGTCTCATTACTTTTTAGTTCAAGGAAGAATAATGTTGGGGGGGGAGGGGGAGCAGAAAGAAGAAACAGACCTATTGCATTATTAATATTTACTTACAGATCAAATCTACCCAACAGCAGTTTTGTTTTTAATATAAACAGATCCTAGATTGTTGTTTCTATTAAACAGCATTGCTGATTATAATCATAATAATAATCCTTGCATTTGATGTAGAGCCTTATCGCATCTTCGAGACATCTCAAAATGCTTCACGAAATATACTGTAAAGTGAATTGACTGTTTATTTTGTGGGTGAAACACTGCAGCCAATTGTAGATCCAATTATATATACAGATACGTATATAGCTAGTTTCTGCATTGGTCTACATATTCTGAAGTTTGAAGTTTTGTCTAATTCCATGCTACCATACATGTGTCATCCTGGTTTAGTTGATAGCACTCTTGTCTCTGAGTCAAAAATTTGGGACTTTGAGCTCCTTACTCCAATACAATGCCCTGAGGAGTGATACATTCTTATAAGTGCCATCCTTCAGATGAGAATTCAGTGGAGGTCTCATTTGCCTGTTCAGGTGGATGTTAGAGATCCCACGGCACATTACCAAAAGAGAAGGGAGAGTCCTGGTAAACAGTCCTCCAGATAAAATTAATCATTCATTTCATGGCTGTGTGTGGGGTAGTGCTGTGCACAAATTGGCTACCAGGCTTGTCTAATAGTTAACATTCATCACACTTTATAGTAAAATTCTGTGAAGTGCTTTGAGACATTTGCTACATAAAATGCAATATTATAATGACTGCAGCTTTAAGAAAAATAGAGGGCATTTAAATGATAATAATATAATAATAAATGATGATTACAAATAATACAATACAAAATTACATTTGTATAGCACCTTTCACAGTGGGAGGACGTCCCAAGATGCTGGACAGTCAGGTATTTGGACCCGAGGGGGAGAGTTTAGATTAGGGAAGGTAGTCAAAGGAACAGTTGAAAAGGAGGGACTTGAGACGTGCCTTGAAGGAGACAAGGCAAAGGGAATGTGGGATGGAGTTCCAAAGGGTGGGGACAGTGAGGCTGAAAGCCCGACTGCTGATGATGGGCTGGGCCAGACGGGGGACAAGGAGCAGGAGACAACATACAGGAACAATGCATTTCTGTGCTAGATTAACAAAGATTCACTCACAAATATACAGTCAATTCACTTTACAGCATATTCTGTGAAGCGCTTTGAGACGTCTAGAAGACGTGAAAAGCGCTATAATCAAATGCAAGGATTATTATTATTGTTATTATTATTATGAAGAGGAAGATACCTACAGGGACAGAAATTCCATTCAGCATTATACACAGCACCTTTGGTGATGCACAACTATAATAAGATATCCCATTAGTAGCCACCAACACCAATAGCTCAGAATGCTGGGCACATTTTTTACACAAGAAAAAGATCTGTCCGTAGGGTAAAATTTAGCTGAAAAAGGAGTTATAATGTTAGTATGGTTTGGATTTGGCACATTAATGCTGCAGCAGTTCCCAAATGGTGAGCGCACACTTGAAAGTGTTGAATAGGTATTATTAAGAAACCAGCTTTGCTTATAACTCCTTTTGTGTATCCAAGTAATCCACATGGAGATTACAAACATCAATTAATCATATTTAATTGACTTCAACATGTAGGGTCAGTGATTTTCTGTCTTGCTGAAGATGGATTGGTACTTGGAAATACCTTACTAACACTCTACCTGGAATAAGATTTCTACCATCTCACTAAGGAGAAAGCTGCTGCATTAGTATCAAGAATTAGCACAGAAATTTTCTCTTTACACGTTTACCTATTTAAGTCTGTGGGCTCAGGCATGGATTTTAATGTATGTTTATAGGTAGGTTTTTAAAGTCATAGCCTACAGTGTGTACAATTGTTTTCTTCTCACTGAACAGTTAAGAACAACTAGGTTTTAGTGGAATATTTTTATCAGGTTTTCAATCAATCAGTAGTATTGTCCATCTGTTTCACTAAAATAAATGGAAAACAGAATATCAGCATTTCTTTCATTCTATACTTTGTATGAATTTGCATAGTTTCTGTCATATTCATTGATATCTTGAAGAATATAAATATTATATGTCGCTCCATTTGACCTGTGTAGATTAATTTACAATACACCTGCTTTCCACACTGATCTTCACAGTTACAGGAAAGCAAATGCAGCATCAACATGATTTAACTAACAATAAGATAATGAAAGAGGAGAAATGTAAAGGATTTATTTTTATCCTACTAAGCATAGACCACCGCTTCTTCATACTCAGACTGTGTTGCAAACTTCCTTAAAGATCAGAAATATGTTTCTATCAGTAAAACAATTTATTATTTTAATAAACTGAAAAGCTTACAGCTTATTCTTTACAAATGAAGTAATGGGCCTTGTCCATCTTGCAATTGAATCCAACATTACTTGAAACCTAGCAATGTTCCTTGGCAAAAAAAACAGGCTGCCACTGCATCAGCTGCCTTTAAGTGAGGTCAAGAAAAATAGGAAATCATTATACAGTAGTAGTATTTCATATCTAGAGGCATTTAACTGCAAAGTATGTATGCAATATGTATTGCATATTCTATTATTTTAGTAGCAGTCTATGTCCCTCTGGAGCTTGAATTAATTGTGTTGGGAATTGGGCTAACCTGGAGCACAGCATTTGGTATCCTGATTTATGGCTTTGCGGAGCGCTAATGAGATTGATATCAGCACGTCGCATCTACAAACAGGTTTACGGAGGTACGCAACAAGATCAAATCATTTATTAAAAGCAAAGAAATTTCAAAATATTTTCGTTTGATTGTTGGCATCCTTTGCTCTTTAGTAAATTCTAGTTGTTTTAAAAAATATTGCAAACTAATGAACTCAGTTATTATAATATAGTTGCAATATAACATATTTTACACCTTGTAAGTATTGAGATATAATAGTTTTTGCCTTTTTTTTTAGATGTCAGTGTATTACTATTCCTCTGGCCAGTACCCTACCTCAGCAGCCCAGCAGTTCAGGCCTGTTGCTTCGGTTCAGTACAATACACAGCGAGGTCAGCAGATGCCACAGACTACACAACAGACAGGTAGGTCATTTCAACCGCAGTGTATCTGATCATCTTGGGTGAGCAATGATTTTCTTTTATTATCTGTACCTTATTTTGACTTTTGGAACAAGTTAGGATTAAGGAACTGACAAATAAGCAATAAACACCCATCTAGCTCATTGCCATCGCTCATACTCATCCCCCATGGATGAAAAGGAAGAAGATAATGATATTTTTATTATTTTCTATTCATGTCTGCTAGACACTAGTAATTCACTTTCACTTCTGTGCTGTGTGTGTACGTGCAGAATATTGTACATATTATTGCTGCAGATGTTCCTTCTGTCTTCTTGGGAAAGGGAAGCTAACGTGAAACACAAAACAAGCAGCTTCTCAGGTCAGAAAAGCAGACTAACAAAATGTAAGAATTCCAAGCACTTTATAAAAGCATTTTAAAATGTTCCAGTTCATGGACATTAGTGTACAGTACAGAACAACCTGACATGACCATTTTGCCTTCAGTCAAAATGCTTGCATAAAGGGTACAATGTGATTTGAGTTACCTGAATTGTTAATGGTGAAAATAGGAGAGAAAATAGCACTGATGCAACTAAAATTGGAATCAACTGCTGTACCATTTCAGGAGGCCATTAGTTGGATGCTATATGGAGCAGCTGGAGAGGGGGCCGTTACACTGTAAGAGAGTGAGTAGCAGGTCTCACAGTGAACCGGTCTCTTTCCCAGGGGCCACATTCTCACCACGGCATTGCTGGAAAGAGTGGATGGAAAATGTATCGTTGATTTACTCCTGTACCTTTCTAGTTCACCAAACGTTTCTTATTAAAAACCTAGTGTTGATCTTTCATCCCTGCTACGTGGGTGCTATTGTAGCACATTAATAAAGAATTATGTTTTAGGTGGATTGTTAATGGAAGAGTACAGTTTTTTTTAGGTTTTGTTAATGGAGTTTTAAAAATCCTCTGAACATGTTTGCAATATTGCTGGGGAATAATGGAGGAATTTTATGCTATGGTTCCATTCAGGAATTAGCTCAACTTTAATCTTAATGCAATAAATTGATTGCTGTGAGGGTTTCAATTCCTCCTTCTGCAAACAGTGATCAACTCTGATCAAGTAAAGGTGATAAGGAAGTGAACACATTAACTCCTGGCTGAGATAAATGGTGATCAAGAGTCAGCACTGAATCTTGTTCTCCATTTTAAAGCTACGTTAGCAGTGTAATCCTGCGATTATAATGAGGTCATCTTTTCAGTCCAAGAGAGGTGATTTCAGAGTAGCTTGTTGGCTTGTGCTATTCTCATGAGTGTGCAACACTCTGGGCCATGACATAGATGGAATAGTGGATCTGTACTTATCTCTTTAGTACCTCTATTCTGAAATGTGTGATAATCCCCAATCTGACTAATCAAAGGCAGTGCATTCAAATACATAGCCAAAGGAATCTAAAAGCTGTTGTGATTCCAGTTGAAATATGACCATGGCAATGCCAATTGGTTAATATTGCCTTTTCTGTTTCTTAGTTGCTTTATCTTACAGAAGTGAGCAATCAGGCAAGCTACAAAGATTCAGTTTCTTAAACCTCACATGTCGGGCTTTTCATTGCAATCTATTTCTACAGCAGCATATCCCTTGATTGGAAGGAGAACAAAACCTTGTAAGATTGTTACTATAGAAAGATTGTCCTTTCCAAAAATCTTGAATTGTTTGGGATTGTCTAATGTTTTAAATTACCTGGGAACATTTCCAATATTCCTTTCTTTTTACTCCGTTTTCAATGATAATAGAGCCCACTCTTGGGTATATTATTTAGAACTGTAGACTTACTAACAGAGGAAACAAATACCCCAAAGCGTATAACAGTGGAATCTCCTCTTGCTGTGCTCTGAATCCATTTAAGCTTAAACTGACGCCAGTTAACCTCGGATCCTGGATAAATCGTAAATCGGACCAAATGTCCAATCCCAACTCATTTGTATTTTTGGCTATTTTAAATATTCCGGTTAAATCGGGTGTCTCGAGTGGCTCTGGGATGTAGATGGGCGGACTCAAATTGCGATTGATTGACAAGCTGGAGCCCATCCATTCATGAGCGGCTTCAGGCTGTCAATCACCTCGGAGCCACCGCTAATTGGTCCTCTTCCCATCCAGCAATGGGAGGGAGGCGGCACCCTTGGTGGTCCTCTGCTGTGCGGGAAGAAGAAGAAAACTTTGGTTAACCTCAGAGCCCGCTTATAACGTACGAAGCTTCCAGCCGCCATGTGTCCAGGCACATTGCATTTCAACAATCCGTCTCCGGGATTTACATGTGTAGATTGGATGCATCAAAATCTCAGCTTGGTTTGGATGCTCTTAAACATGGTGATGAGTTTCCACATGTGTCAGACACCTGGCGGCTGACAAAAAAAAACATAGCACACCAGGAGGAGATAATGCCAAACCTACTTGGCAAACCTTAATGATTCCCATTATATCAAAGGCTTTTCTTTTAGTTTGTGAAAGCTCTAATTTGAATTTCATATTATCGTGCAGTATATGGAAGAATAAATCTGCCTTATATAAGATGTTTGATGTTCGCACTGTGTTTTTTAAAGTGTTCTACCAATATAATGTATTCCCATTACTTATTTTTCAAGGTTATTATTGAGAATTTTGATCAGACCTACTTTCTTTCTCTCAAATGCACATCGTAAAATATTGTACTACTTTATATATTTTTAATGTGTACTGTTCCGAAACTCTGGAACTCCCACAATCCCTCTGCCTTGCTCCCTCCCTCTCCACTTTCAAATCCCGCCTGAAGAACTTCCTTTTTGATCGTGCTTACAGTCACCTCCCGCCTTCCTCCCCCTGTCTCAGAGTCAGATTCCGCCACTCCATCAAGCTCTCTGGTACGCTACCATGGATGAAGGATGCTATATAAATGGAAGTTGTTGTTGTTGTACTAGAATTGTTGCTGCTGATGTTGTGTCCAGTAACTGTAAACCATGGTAATATTTAGTGATCCTTTTCCTGTTACACATGAAATGTTTAACATTAAACCGAATATCTCAAATTTCTGTGTCTCAAGCTGCAGAGCCACTGAAAATAACATGATTTATAGGAAAATAACAGTACTTAATTTTAATTGAAAGATAAGGAAACAATATTTGAACGCATAATGTAGGATAGATTTGCTAAAGCTTCAGCTGTTAGTCTGTCTGTCAGACTAGGTATCAAAGTTGTTTGTTATCTCTTCATGCACTTTATTATTGCTCTCACTACTTTTACAAAGATTAAATTCCCCAAGATCTAGATTTTATTCTAGCACTTTCTTCTATTATCAGCTATAGTAGACAGTGCAGCTATCACACGGTAGCCTTTGCAACCAGTCTTGTGGATGTAGTAGAGCCCCATTATACCGAGGACATTGGATCCATAAAATTGCTATAACTAAAAGTAAATTATTTTTTTTAAGAAAAATTGGTCACTCAATCCACGACTGTTTGTGGACATTGCTGTGCACAATTGGCTGTCACGTTTTGCCCACAAAATATACAGTCAATTTACTTTACAGTATATTTTGTGAAGCGCTACGAGATTGAGATGTTTCTTGTTCTCAGAAAAAATGTTAAGAAATTATTAGTATCACAGATCCACTTCTTAGTCAAGGCAAAGCCACTTGATTTTAGCCAAAGAGCAAAGAGCTATTTTGTACTTGTATTGTGTCAGCTTCTTAGCTCCTCGTGTATTTAAGGGCCAACTATCCTTTCTATATTTGCCCATTATATTTGAGAAAGGAATCTATAATTTGAATTCCCCCAACATAGCCATAAGGGGTATTTTCTTGAGTAACCAGCGATCAAATTTAATTATCCTGCTCATTCTTTGCCCACTTCCATTCTTAACGATTTCAGTTCGTGACCACAAATTAAGCAAACCGAAAGTGAGTACAGATAGGTAAGAGCAAGTGATAAGACAACAGACTGGGAGTATTAAAGAAACAGTCATAGGAGACCAAGAAAATAATGAGGAGAGCAAAGGGGATTATATAAAAAAAATTGCATGTAATATCAAGGGTAACAGTAAAAGATTTTATAAATATATTCAGAATATGAGAGTAGTCAAGGAGGAAGCTGGTCTATTAGGAACAAATCTGAGCAAAATTGTAGTGAACGAAAGGGAAATGACAGTTCTCTTAAATGAATACTTTAGGTCTGTCTTCATTGTGGAGAATGAATATGTGATTCCACTATGAAATCCAAACATATATAAATGGGAGAAACTTAATGGGAACAAAGTTAGTGACAAAACAACCAGACAAACTACAAGGTGGATAAATCTCCAGGACTGGATGTTTTCTACCCGGGTGTTAAGAACTAGGTAATGAAATTGCACACATGTTCAGTATACCGTCTTGGGATGTCCTCCCAACATAAAAGGCACTGTACAAATGCAATCTTGTATTGGATAATATTTTAAAGTTCTCTGGATTTAGAATTTGTCTCTATAGAATTGCAATTCTCACACCATTATTTGAGAAGGGAGTGGGGGGGGAAACAAAAGACTTAGAAGTGCTGCCTTGACACACTGCCTGAAATTCCTTCAACTAAATATCAACTAAACTGAAGACAACCTGCTTTGCCTCCTGCCTCATTTCTGACAATGACTGTATCATCCTCCCTAGCTACTCATTCCAGTTCACACAACCTGTGTTCAATCTTGGCATTTTGTTTAAGACTCAGCTCTCCTTTAAAGCTTTCATCTGGTCTTTGACCAAATCTGCTGCCAATCAACTCCACCACATCAGCCACCTCCATCCCATCACTTCCAGACTTGATGTCTCCAATGTTCTCCTCGCCGGCTCTCCTTACTCAAATGTCGACAAGCTCCAGTTTACCTGAACTGCTTAACAATGTTTCCCATCATAGGCTCTGCGAGCTATTCAAGTCAGACACCAGCGGCTCCTTATTCCTTAGATCAACTTCAATATCCTTATTCTCACTTTCAAATGTCTTCATACCATTATCCCACCTTACTTC